TTTTTGTATTTAATCAAGTCTTGAGAAATTTCAAAGAAAATATATTCCATTAATTAAAAACTAGCAACAACGGCCTATGAAAATTGTGTTCAGTAATTGGTAAAAAAATTTCAATATGAAACTTAATATCGAATACCAAATTATAATTATTATCTATTTTCGCCCGTTAATACCTGATCCTCTCGATGAAATTAATAAACAATTTTGCTTGATAAAACTCTTGATCAAATTAATAATGGTTATATTCAAATTATTTCATTCGTGCCTGGGATTTGTGAAAATAGTTTAATACCTACATGCTCATTATTGTTAACGTGATATCGTTTTAAATTGTATTAGTATAATCCATGTTTCTACATATTGTAACACTGAAAAAGTTATGAGTTTTGTTTATTTGTAGCCTATGTCCCCACAGGAACATAATGTGAAAATTGATTTATTAAATTACATTTCTTTGTTTTTATTTGAAATAGGAATTTTATTGTTTTGTTACGAGTATCTTATTAGAGCTACAGACATTCATACACGAGTTTACATAGCAACAATAAGTGCCAATACTTCGGGTAATAACCTGACTGGTACTACTGATGTCCTTCCGAAAAATGTTTAATGTTTCATGTAGAAGTTAGTAAATATAATGGGCAGTTAAATGGAGTTAAACTTTCAACATAATAAGTTTGACGGTAAAAATCTCATAAAATAAATGAGCTGAGTATGAAAACAGTGTAAGTAGTAAGATATGTTTTTGGGAATATTCAGATTTCACAGTGCGTTAACTCGCATAAGCTATCATTAGATGATAAGTCCGTGGAGCGGTAGGCGTTTGGTTTGCTCAAACTAAGCAACGTTGGAATCTAACTTACTAGGCATATAGTTATAATAAGCAACTCCGCTCCGCTCTCTAACTCGGTTAAGCATGCAGGATGATCTCGGGGCTTTGTGTGGACTGATAAGTTCCGTGTGCACGAAGTTTAACTTTGCGGGAGTTATCTTGCGCAGGCTATGTAACACGGGATTAGCCTAACGCAGCTACTGTGAATGGAAAGCCTAGAGTTTTCCAGAATTTTCGTATATATATTCGGTAATTATTAAAAAAAAATTTTTTTTAATTTTATTTAAGACACGCTAACAGTATACATATTTACACAACTTACAAAAAAGGAAAAAATAAAAAAAATCATTGGACCTAATATGTACACCTATAACAGGTGTGTACAACATTTACAACATTGTGACAAAGTTTAATAAACAAAAAAAAAACTAATTCATAAAAAATTAAATACAAAGAATAGACTAACAAAAAAGAATCAAAAATAAATTTATTATTTAACGTGGCTAGTGACCTGGCGGTTAGCCTGATGTTAAAGGATAACCGCCGCTTTTGGACGATTGCAGATGCGTTGGCATCTTTTAATGAAGTGCGCCCCGGCTACCTCACTCACCAGACGAAACGCAGAAGTGTAACACTTCCTCTTCACGCCGGTCTTCTGTCGTTGTACTTCCCCGAACGGACCTGCCCAATCGTGCAACAGCGAAGACTGTTGCTTGCCCAACCAGAGTAGTATCAAAATATTATATAATGTGGTGAGAGATTGAAACAAGATATTAAAAGATAAATAGGGTCATGCTGGGGTAGGATGACCCTATTTATTTTTTACTAGCTGCTGCTCGCGAAATGTATATAAATGCCCGGCTCTTTCTTAAGACAGAATGTGGGGACGTGTGGCGGTTTTGTATAAAATGCAAGTAATAGCTATATCTTTATTTATTATAAATAAATATTCAGGACACAAAAAGTTTTCTAGCCCCAAACTAAGCAACGCTTGCACTATGGGTACTAGAAAACTGATAGAAATACTAAAGCATATTTTTTTTTTGTAAATAAATACACATTACACATATATAAACACCAAGACACTAGAAAAACACTATGTTCATCACACAATATTATTCCAGTAGCGGGGATCGAACCCACACCCTCTGGCGCAGGAGGCAGGTACACTACCCACTACGCCATTCGGGTCGTCATTTGCTAATGCATGTCTCCAAAAGTGCGACATATTAATCAAAATTATTATTTTATTCGTAAATAGCAAAACAAAAGCAAAACAAATCGGTCGCAGCTGCATTCCTGAGCGGATTAACTTTCAAAATACTTTTTTTAATTCGAGGACCACTTCCGAAGAAACTCATTTAACTTTTCTTTAATTTTTCTAAAGGGACCGAGAGTGCGGCGTTGGTCAGGGCTCCAAATTGGGTTCGTTAAAGAAAATTCGACTTTACGGCCCCTAAAATTTAAGCGAAGTTAGACCTTTGGGACATATGCTGAAACTCTAATGTTTTTAAGTAGGAATCTTTGTTCGAGTTTCCCTCTAATCGATCGAGAAGAGACTACTGTTTATCGGCTTCGATTGGAATTCTTTGATTATCATTGCAATATTGCGCCCGTGAAATGGGTTATCTAACAACTGTTTACCATCAGAGAATTATATAAATTAATAGAAATGGTCGTCATGACAAGAAATGTCAGTCATGTGGCTAGAAGAATGCTGAGTATAAGAGTAAAGTAACAGCCTGTAAATGTCCCACTGCTGGGCAAAGTCCTCTTCTGTAAAGACGATATCAAGGCACAGTCCACCACGGATAGGACTTCACATATCTTCGATTTTTTCTATATTATTTCGAAGAATATGCAGGTTTCCTCACGATGTTTTCCTCCACCGCATTAAACTAACAATTTCATTGGTGCCGGCATCGGGGTTCGAATCAGTTTGGTCGAATAAAATAAATTTAAGACTAGCACCTGGACACTGAACTATCACTGTGTTGAGTATTAATGTGCTTAATTAGGAGTTTTTAATGTTCATGCTATTTTAATTTCAAGGTAGGACCATTTATCTCTTTCCCGCACGGTTCCACTTTCAGCATTGGACTGCATATTGCATCATAATACCCTCTTTACAGAGGAGGCCTTTGCCCAGCCGTGGGACACACATGTGCTGTTACTTTGCTTTACTTGTCATTCTAAGCACAAATATATACACATATTTTGACAGGTTTGTAAAACGGTTGCAAAATTGTGACACAAAATTTTGTTTTCGTCATCTGCCGATATTATTAGGTATTAAATCCTTCACTCGGGGATAAGTTTCTGAATAGTTTTTGTAAAATAGTAATGTTATTATTAAAAGCAGCACGTATTAGTTTTCTTCCGAATACGAAACTAATTATATCTTTGAAATAAGTCTGCCCAGGACTTTCCTTTTGGAGGAGCACGCGGTAATTATTTTCTCATTCCTTATAGTATTAGATTAATTAAAATGTAATTATAACCAAGTCTAATTAATTACCATTAATATAAGGTATCCTACACAGAATTTAATATTAAGAAAAGGCCTTTAATTCTTTTTCGTTTATAGATTATTAAAAAAATCTCTCATTTAGTAAGGAATTGAAATGTATAATTTATTTAATTCCTTCAGGAAATAAACACGAATACTCCTTAATAAACAATATAGAAAACAGAGATGGGAAATATCTTATTTCAATATAAAAACATAACTTATAATGGCGACATTAAAAAATATAGTTGACATAGACGTCCAGAGCAAGTTGCTGTGCCAAGTATTGCATTGAAATCATACAACAACTTTTTTCATTTTAATATCGCCCTCCTAGAAAAACACTTGGAGCTTTGTTAACTTTGGAGACAATGCCAAAGAACTCTTTTACTTTCAAAGTAACATTTAAAAGTTGCCCTTGTCTCAGTCCCCGTTTCATTTGCACGGTAGTTTAGTTTTACTTTCATTTTTTTATATTCTTTTTATTTTGCCTACAGTCTTTGATGGGAAAAAACATGAGGGTATGTATAGTGTATGTAAGATACATAGGTAAAATTTACAAATCTATCAAGATACGTGCTCATATTAGATTCAACATCATGAACACAGATAAACATGCCAACTACTAAAAAAACTATACATTCTTAAATAAAATATCTTTACGGATTTATTTTAATTTGTTTACATTTTGAATTCCCAATGTTTTGGACACTGCAACATAATCTCCATGGATTTTGCAAACAGCTTACATATTTTCATATCATTAAAATCATACGAAATTTATACGTTCAAAGCAATAACGTTTCATTCCTGTTTCGTTAGCAACATAATTTGTTTTGTAGAATTCTAAAAAATGCATTTAAACCATAAAAAATTCAACTCATAAAATTGTTGATTCGGCACTTGCCATATAACTTTCTTGTGTGTCCGTGCCAAATTAATAGTAGATTTTGTTGAAGTATTATATTTATAGTTTATTATAAACTGTAATCAATTTACTTTTTTACTTATACCTTTTAAATATTGTCAATAGTAAATTAATTTTGACAATAACAAAGGAACTGAATAATTTCTAGTGCCGATTTATAATTCTATGTTGAATATGTAATGTATGAAATATTATATGTTGTGAAGATTTTTTTATCATGATTTAATGAGGCGGATAAAATTACCTATTTATTTTCCAACCTACTCGTACACCTTTCGCAATTAGAGACTAAAAGGACATGCTAATTACCACAGTAATTACATGTACGATTTAAAGTTTAAATGGTACATATAATTAATGTCATAATTTAAATTTCAAACTATTTTATTAGATCACTCAATTCTTTGAGTTATGGCTGGCGCATCGCCACTTCAGCTTACTAATCTTCTGAAGTAAGTATTTTACCTTCCTCCATCGGACATCTTGAGTGCGAACTCTATCGAATAAAAGTTCTCGAGAAGCAAGCTCATTCTGTCCATCGCGGTGTTGGTCGACTTGTGCTAAAGTGCAGGAAATCGATGGACGCAGGCGGCTCGGACCGTGCTTCGTGGCAGTCTGCGAGCAGTGGACTCAAACAGACTGAAATGATGATCGATAGCCAATAGATCTCTACGCGTGGCTACGCCGTAGCGATCGTAGGACTCACTTAGCAACTCTGTTACAGGGAAATCATGGTGATGATCAGATCTAAAAAGCTCTACGCGTATCTACGCCGTAGCGTTCGTAGGACTGACTTAGCAACTCTGTTACAGGGAAATGATGGTGATGATCAGATCTAAAAAGCTCTACGCATATCTACGCCGTAGCGATCGTAGGACTGACCTAGAAACTCTGTTACAGGGAGGTGCGGTGAAGGGAGCCCTTGCGAGCAGCTGTGCCGGGAGCTACACGATGGCACCTACGAGTGCGGCTGCGGTCCAGGGTTCGTTCTGCACGTGGATGGCTACGGATGCCTCGGTAAGTGGAGACCGTGCCTTTCTCCCTTATGATGCTCTTGTGTATATTTCTATCTCCTTCTGCTCCTTTCTCCTGCCCTAATACCACCTGGTTGTGGTCGGCACAATTACATAACACATAATTATTGCTGTGGTAGTGTAACACAACAGTCTTCGCTGTTGCACGAATGGGCAGGTCCGTCCCGGAAAGTACCACGACCTCACAAAAGACCGGCGTGAGGTTATACTGCGTTTCGTCTAGTGAGTGAGAGCCACAGTGAGTGTTAGCCGGGGCCAAATTTATTAAAAGGTGGCAACGCGTGTGCAACCCTACGGGTGTTGCAAATGTCAATGGACGGCGGTTATCACATAACATACCACAAACAACCAACAAACCACAAACAACCAACAAACTAACAAGCACTAACTCTGTTGGTATTCGAAATTGTTTTATATTATGCTGCGCGCAGTAACTCTTGTATGCGTAAATAAAGAAATCGTTATGCCAAGCCGAGCGTCCAAGGGCCGTAATTACTCAAACATAACAACTTAGCGTAAAAAGTAATTTCCGATGTTGATGTTGTGGACCAATTAATCGGGCGGCCGGAATCGGTTATCAATCAGACGCTATAAATTGGAAAAACGTCGGTCGCCCAGCGATCCGGGCGGGAATTATGATTAATTGGTCCAGATGCTGTCGGATATAAAGTGTTAGCCGATGACGGATTCGATTTCCAGCGTACACTTCAATTGTTAGTGTTCGCTGTGATAAAAACTGAAGTTGTTACAAAACCGGCCAAGCGCGAGTCGGACTCGCGCACGAAGGGTTGCGTACGGTTATCTATAAAAGTAAAGTAAAGTAACAGCCTATACATGTCCCACTGCTGGGCAAAGGCCTCCTCTATACAGAGGGTATCAGGGCATAGTCCACCACGCGGTCCCACTGCGGATTGGCGGACTTCACATATCTTCGAAAAAAAAAATTTTTTTTGTTATTATTTTCGAAAATATGACAGGTTTCCTCACAATGTTTTCCTTCACCGCGGAGCACGTGATAAAAACTTAAAGTTCATCAACTTCATTGGTACAGGCACTGGGGATTGAACTCAGGTTGCTTGAGTATATTGAATTAAAGGCGAGCGCCCGGACACTGAGCTATCACGGCTCTCTATTATCTCTCGGTTATCTATAAATACGGCAAAAAAATCATGTCTGTTGTATGGGTGGGGCACTAAAACACAGAATGAAAAAGTATTTACTTTTTCATTATGTGTTTTAGTTTTTATATATTTGTTGTTATAGCGGCAACAGAAATACATTTTCATCAGGAAAAATTTCAACTAACTACGAGTATCACGATTCATGAGATATAGCCTGGTGACAGACGGTCAGACAGACAGCGGCTTAGTAATAGGGTCCCGTTTAACCGGGTATGGAACCCTAAAAGTAACAACATAAACTCCTAATTAAACAATAATAATAGTGAGAAAAACACGCACTTGTCTAAAGTTTAATGCGTAAATCAAACTGTTCTGGTTATGAATGAATGTATGAAATATGATTTATTATACACCAGGCCAATATTACAAAAGTAACAAATAAAGGGCCTTATCGCTCAGAAGCAAACAGGATACAATGACCAGTGACAAAGGGTTGAAGTGTAGGATATCGTCAGTATAATTCTAAAAGCTACTGTTATTAACTATGTACATAAATCAAGAAACATCTTAGTATGTAGTTATTTTTTTATGTGAGAAAGTGGCAAGTGTTAAGTGATACCCGCCGGCCATTGACATTTGTATCACCCGTAGGGTTGCAGATGCGTTGCCAACTTTTAATAAAGTAGGCTTTGGCTACCTCACTCACCAGACAAATGCAGAAGTATGACACTTCCTCTTCACGCCAGTCTTCTGTGAGATCCTTGTACTCACCCAGACGGATCTGCCCATTCGTGCAACAGCCAAATCTGTTGCGTGCCCTACCACAGTTAAAAATAATACAGGTAATTTAATTTAAATTGCAAACGACTGTAAAACAATATTATCATAAAATATAAATGCTATATTTTTATCGTATTTTATCTTTCTGGCCGAGCCATTGTTAGCAATGCTAGACAATATAAGATATCGCATCGTCCTATTACCTATGGAACAAAGCATTTGATGCACGTCGATGTATTGCGAGAATTCAATAGTTCAACGCACTCAGTCCTTGAAATGGAACAAAATAAATCAATAGTGAGTAAGCGAATACGGAAATAAAATGGCGTAAACATTTCCTATTAGAATCCCATACATCATAAGCTTATGTAAAAGAATTGAATAGAAAGAATACGTGTATTTTCCTCATTACGTCTGATAGGTAATTAAAATTCGATGACTCAATGGCGCAGTTGCCAATGTATCGGCCAAGTTGCCAGTTGTCAATGCTTCGACGTCGGGGGTCGGGGGTTCGATTCCCACGATTTAATTTAGATTTGTTTATTGCATTTATTTGAAACTTCATTCAATTAAATTCGTTACGTATCAAAGATTATGCAGCATCTTTGTTGCGTCCCGTGGACATTTGAAGATAATAATTTGCGTGAAACAATTTTTAGTGTTCTCGTAAATACAAGAAATTATTGCTGTTTCGAGAATTCGTATAATTTCTTAAAAATATGCTTATACTTTGCCTTACTAATCTTTCATTTTAACCAAGGAATGAAGAAATACCTTATTTGGTATTTCTTATAACACGTTATTTTCAATTCGAATTGGGCATCAAAAATCTAAATTACTTATCTTTACAAAACCTTTATTCAAATAGACGCTTGCGCGTTCTTTTGAAACGTAAAAATTTACATAAAAATTGGTACATAAGTTAGTAAGTCAGTTACCACCGGTTCGGAGAGCAGTTTCTGTTGAGAAAAGACCGGCAAGAAACTAAACGGTTGCTATTTTTTTTTTTCAAAATCTGTTTACAATGCAACATGTTACAGGTATAGGTCGTATTTAGTTATCGTGACATGCCTCTGTGACCTAATTATTCGTCAACCATTTTCACATACACCTTTTTCAGTGTAGTAACACGTTGATTGACCAGCCAAAAATGGACGAAAAGTTTTTCACCGATAGGAGAATCGATCCTGCGTCATCCGGAATCGCGCCCCGACGCTGTAACCGCTAAGCTAATTGCCACGCCGACGAGTCTCAATGTACTCTATCTACAACTAGCGACCCGCCCCGGCTTCGCACGGGTGCAATGTATTATACATATAAACCTTCCTCTTGAATCAATCTATCTAGTAAAAAACACACATCAAGTTCCGTTGCCTAGTATTTAATATAGGGATAGTCAGACAGCGGGACGACTTTGTTTTATACTATGTAGTGATGTTTTTTTCGCATTTTAAGCAATGCTTGAAGAATCTATTGTCATGTCCTTAACAGCATAGGAGCAATTTCGAATAAAGTTTTATAACATTAATTCTATTTTCTACAAATTTTCATGTTTCATCTTAAGGACAGAGATGGAGCAGGTGATATATAAAAATTTTATATTTTATCACGATATAATCCGTAAGATAGTTTCATCTAAAAAAGTAAGAAACATTTTATGCTCGCGTCTTTGCTTTTAGACTCTGTTTCAATATCAATTTTATATATAAATTTAATATTAAAAAGTTTCATTTAACAATGTTTAATATTCGCGTAAAGACAAGAAATCAAAATGTCTTTTTATTACTCTAATTTCTTCCTCTGAACTCGTTTCGAACTTACGAGAAGCGCGTAGCTTCGTTATTTGTACAGCCTCCGTTGCGTACTAGGCTCTACTCGTATTAGTTATGTGAAGTTCCACTCATCATGAGCCAAAATTATGTCAAAGTTTTACTGGGGACGGACCACTGCCAGTACATCGGGCCCTTATTGTATTGGAGAATTATTTTACTAACGAAAAACAAAACCGTCTTCAAATATTTGCTCTGTATTCATTTCATAATTGATTTTCAGGTGTTTCCTAAGTATCTGCGGAGCCTAAGATCCAATACTGATCAAATTGATATTTGGAAAAGGAACTGGCGGTTCACCTGATGTTAAGTGACAACCGCCGCCCATGGACATTTGCAACACCCGTAGATTTTTCAGATGCGTTGCCACTTTTTAATAGATTGGGCCCCGGCTACCTCACTCACCAGACGGAACGCAGGAGTGTAACACCTCTACTTCATGCCGGTCTTCTGTGGGGTCGTGGTACTAACCCGGACGGACCTGCCCATTCGTGCAACAGCGAAAACTGTTGCGTGGCAGAAAAATGTGTCTTAAAGAGCAAAAATCACTCTACTCGGTCCTCTAACTACCCCACCCATATGTAACTGAGTATATAATAACTGCAATAGAATTAAAATCTGTAAAGTTTCTTATTTATCGTTACATAGCCATATTGACACGGCATTGTATTTGGAATTTATTTGCAAAGTCATATTCATTAGTAAGTTTAGTATTTAACAAATGAATTATTTCCAAAGAATTGCTCCTTTTTTATTCATGTGTAAAATAGCATCTGCTATGATATAGGTATGTATTTGTACGTATGTATGGGTGTATGTATATATTAATATGTATATATGTGTATATATGTATGTTTATTTATATGTATTTTGTGTTAAATTTTTGTATATACATTTACATATTTATCTTCTTACATATTTATTAAGTACCTGGAGGACCGTTTTATTTTGGAAATAAAAAAATAAAAAATAAAGAAAATGATCTGTTATATAAAAAAAAGGAAAAAAAGAAGTGTGTAAATGATCGTGATACGAACCGCAGCCGTCTGTTTTGGGACCACCCGATTACCGACCGAGCTATTCGAATGATATTTTTCATTCCCTGAAAACAGGGAGATAAAAGGACATTTTCTAAAAATGAAACCTAGCCAGATCGATTTTTCGCCCCCGAATCTACGCACATACTTAAATTTCATGAAAATCGCTGGAGCCGTTTCCAAGATTCCGATATATAGCAAAAAGGAGATATCTTA